AGACCCTTTTCTGATGAAGGGTCTAGGCCCGAAACGTCAGCCTCTCTGCTCCTATGATCCTGCTTGGCCTGCTGTGTTCATCCAGCCCTGCACTTTGTAGGAAAAAGGGAGTGCCTTTCCCCACTTAATAACTTTCACTCAGGCTCATGTGCAAGTGTGACCAACATAAATGTAACCCTTGAGCTGCTCATTCAGGTTCATGTTAGTGAAAATGTCCAGTTTATTTTAAAGAACCTGTTTTACAGCTTCCCAGCAAGCACCTGTAAGTAGTAATGCAGAAAATAACCAAAAATATATTTGTGGAGCTTTACTTGCAAGTTAGCTGCTCATAATTTTGTGTAAATGGAAAGTTGGCTGGTTCAATGTGATTGCTGGTGAATCTGTGAAAAACCATCCCAGTTGTTTAAAATGGCTGTGCCATACAAGTTCTTGGCTTCCATGATACGGCCTGTGCCCGGCCAAGACGAGGAGCCAATCTGAGCAATTCAATCACAGCACGACCATAACACTCTATTGACCCAGCATGCCAACATATCAATGTACTAGTGAGAGTGGTGGAAAGGTAATCATGTTCATGTGCACAAGAGTAGGGACTGCAGGGCGGATGAGCAAACTGACCTCAGCACTGTGGTACAGCGAGCAATCCAAATGTGCAGAGGAAACAGGAATCTAATAGTGGTCGGGGACTGTATACTTAGGGAAATAGATCCTAATGTCTTCTGTAGTCCTGAGTCTGAGTCTCAAAGGCTGCGTTGCCTGCCTAGTGCCAGGATCAAGGAAATCTTGTCTGGCTGGAGAGAAATTTGGAGTGGGAGGGAAGGGATCCAGTTGTGATATCTACATTAGTACCAATGATATTGATAAAAGTAGAAAGAATTTGAATACCAAGGAGCTAAATGAGAAAGCAAGGAAATAATGTCAAGATTACTGCCTGAGTCATGGGCAAATTGGCAAAGGGTAAATAAAATTAAGGAGTTAATGGAACAAAAACAAAGTTGCTGGAAAATCTCAGCAGGTCTGGCAGCATCTGTGAAGGAACAAACAGAGTTAACGTTTCAGTTTCTGAGGAAGGGTCACTGGACCCGAAATGTTAACTTTGTTTTTTTCCTTCACAGATGCTGCCAGACCTGCTGAGCCTTTCCAGCAACTTTGTTTTTGTTCCTGATTCAGAGCATCCACAGTTCTTTCGGTTTTTAAGGAGTTACTGCTTGGCTTAAAGGTTAGTCTGGGAGAATTGGGTTTCAGGTCAAGGGTCACTGGCAAGAATACTTAGGGAGGGAGTAAAGGGACCTGTTCCAGTGAGATGGGCTTCAGTTAAACTGTACTGGGACCAAGTTCCTGGAAAGTTGCATATATAGGGCTAAAGAGAGGGTTTTAAATTAATTAGAATGGGGTGGCTTTGGGAGAGGAAAAACATAGGCTTTCAAAGCAAAAGGTTTGAGCAGCATTTCAGGGCAGCTATTTGGATAATATGATGATAATATTATGATTTGAATACGCTTTTTCCACTCTACTCATACCTCTCCCACAACTTTCTGTTCAGATTCCTTGAGTATACTTCCACCCTACCAACAGAACTGAGATTTCCGTAGTTAAGGTCACCAGTGCCATCAATTTTAATTATAGCCACGGTCATTATCTTTCCTTGTCTATTTGATTCCTTGTTACAAAAACACATATCCTACTCACTGCCAAGATTACCCATTTCATCTCCCTTGCATCAATGACTTTCACTCTTACCTCATTGTCACCTGTACTCTGCTGCATCTTAAATTCTTCTCCCTGCATATGGAACTACACAGTAGAACCATACCGAGAAGCTCAGGTTATTCTTATGTCAGGAATCTCAGCAGTTTGGGGATAGGGTGTTGTTGGAGGTCCATGTTTAAGGAACATTGTGGGGAGGCATGAAGCAGTAAATGACTTTAACAGTTGGGGAAGGAGGATGAACCAAAAAGCCAGCAAAGCAGTTTTTTTGCTTTGCCTGACACCAGTGTGCACACCCAAAACTGCCAGGCCCTTATGCATGACATAGGCCTTACCATGCTGTGACAGTGGTAGCTGGATGAATCTATTAAGTATTCACAGGACGAATGGCAGGTAAGCTTCTTGAAGTTTCCTCACAGCCCATAAGATTTCAACCAGGTCTGGGTGGGTGGTTAACTGGTGAGATCACCAGCTAGATTTTTCATGATCCTCATCCTCAAACAGCCATGATGTGGAAGTGCCTGTGTTGGACTGGAGTGGACAAAGTCAGAAGTCATACGACACCAGATTGTGGTCCAACAAGATTATAACCTGCTGTCGTGTGATTTCTGACCTCAGCACAGCTGATGAAGAACGTAAAATACATTTGTACCTCTCCCGAAAATGGTTACTGTGTTTTTCATAGTTTACTACATTTCAGAGTTTTGTACCATCAGCGCTGTGAAGTTATGCCCTGTATCCTCAACTGAACTGTGATACCAATATTGGACCCTGGGGGACACCACTGCACACTGAACACCAGGTTAAAAAACAATGCTTGATCATTATTCTCTTCTCTGTTTCACTCTTAACTAATAGCCATACAACTAATCCTGTTTTAATCCTGTGGTTTTCAACTTTACAAACAAGCTAGCTATATGATACTTTATCCAACACGAACTAGAGGTTCATTAACACAACATCAATCAGGCTATCTCATTAACTTGCTTTTATTTCAGCAAAGAACTAATTTGCATTAAGATTCCCCTTTAAAAAATTCATGCTGGCTTTTTTATTATAATGTTATCGTACATTTTCTAAAATTCAAATTTAATGAAATAACTCATGTAACAGATACTCCATAAAAGTAATTCATTTATGAAAAGCAAATATTTTTAGCACACAGATAGTGAGACATTGTGTCAATAAAAATCATGTCTTACATCTGCCTTATTCTCAGGTAACCAGACCAAATGCCTCTGGAAAGACTTCAGAATATTAACATAGGGACTGAAATGGTGTAGATTGAAAAACAAAATAGCAAAATAATAAAAATTTATCCCCAGGAATATTTACAATTTTTCCAAAACCAATTGTTTTTCAGATGTGTTTGTCAGTGAATCATGTTCAGCTTCTATTTCTAGCAAACAGAGAAGGAGTAAATATTGGCTGATGTGATCTGCTCAAGATATGTTTGTATTACACATTGGTACCATTGTGTGCAATCAGCTTTCAGGCTATTAGTGAATTAGTGAATTTTGTTTTTGTTACATCTCTGCTAAACTTACTACTTATCACCAATACCATTAATCTTTAATGTGCTAAATGTTTTCAGCCTCCCTGCATGTGTTTTAATCTTTCTTAGAATTCTTCCCCTGGATAATTTTATTTCTCATATTTTACAATCATTCTTGTGAATGCATATATTAGCCTTCAACTTCTGGAAAATTTTCAGGAAGATGCTGGGAAAATAGGTTGCAAGCAATCACCATAATGTCTCACCTTGGACTATAGCAAATGGTGGAGATTTCTAGAGGCTTGGTTTAATATTGAAAATATCAAGTGAATTATTTTACAAAAGATAAACATCCACTTGAATTGCAGTCACACAATCATGCAGAATGGAGCTATATTTATGGTGAACACGTTCTTATACAACTTTTTTAAGTGGGCAGTATAATTAAATATTTCCATTCTAAGGAATAGCTAACTCTTTATTATTTATTTTAAAATCATTTTTTCCCATTTCATATCACAGCTGGAATCTAACTTATCCAACGTGGTGATTGGAAATGCAAATGGGTTTCTCTTTCAGAAGTTTTAAATTAATTGGAACGTTTCAAATTGACATTTTCAAACTGAATCATTTATTCAAACTGAACCACTCCTTTTATATTCTGTCAGTTTATAAAGAAAGAACTCAACTAAATGCAATCTGAATCATCCATGCAATTTTAAGTAATCCCTCTGTCCACCATGCATGTTCTATTCATGTATCTGGCCTGCAGTTTTTCATCTATACGTTTGCACTCAGTAACCGAATTTAGAGATATAATCATTAATTGAAAAGTAGATGCAAATATTTTGTTTTTGCTACAATAGCATATCCTTAATTTAAGTGTCACGTTTGCCATGTTACACTTCTAACTGACTTTGACCACTAGAGCTATATATTTATTTCATCTGAATAAAGAGTGTAATGGTGGAATTTAATGCCCCAAACACTAGTAAGAGTCCCACAGTATCATGCAGTTGACTCTTCTTCTCAGAGTGAAACAGTAGTTCAAGGTCTGACACTATTACAAAATAGCCTATTACTGACTTGCATTGAACAATCCCAAAGTAGATCGGCTAGTGATATGAGAGTCTGCAGTTTACTGCAAACCTGTACATACTTGTTACACAAAGAGAGTCAGCACAAGTGGTAAACAGGTTTGAGGCTTTGTTTAAAAATCACACAAGCAGCAACAAATATGATTTCTGTAAATTTATTTGCCTAAATGTTTAAACTGCTACCCTGCTGTGTTCTGCATTGTAAACGTTGTCCTCTAAGAGCTGCAACTGCTTCTCAACTTCCCTCAGGATAGAAAACAAAACAGAAGTGGAAAGCTCTCGTGGTGCTGCATCCATGACTTCATCTCCAGCTTCCACTTCCCCCTCAGTGACAAGTTGTTGTAGATCAGCTGTAGAGAGGTCTTCACAGTGGGACTCAGGCAGCAGTTAATAAGCCATACAAAATCTTAGTCTTTTTTAGAAACAGAATAAACATTTTACGCCTTACCTATTGTCTAATAAGAATGAGTTTTTACTGTAATTTTTTAAAAATTATTTCAGATGTACGAACCAAGTCTCAGTATGACGAAAGTCACGTGATAACAGCCAAGAGAGCAAAAATGGTAACATTTATTTTCTGTTTAATAGAAGAAATAATTTACATTAAGTTCTCATTTTAAGGTATCTTATGTTAGAATACCACTGAAGTTTTTTGTCTTGCAACTATCAAAGTTAAAAGCAATAATACCAAATTTGTAGCAATCACAAAAATTTATCCAATAGGAGAAAAGGATGCTAATCGGTTGGTGCATCATTTCTGATTGGCTCAAATATGGTGAAAGCAATGGGGATCTATAGGCTTCTAGTTAGTTCAAAAAAGGTGCAATGCTTGAATATATTTCTTTGCTTTCAGAGAACACCTCCCTGCATATGAACATATGTCATTCTGTCAAGCCTTATTTGAGCCATCTTATGAGCATGACTGGTTATCTTATTTTGATGTTTGGGGTGCTACGATCGGTCTAGGGATTATTCACCAAGTGCTGCCCAATTATGGAATCACCTCTAATAATATTTTGGCTTCTGGAAGCAGGCAGAAAATCACAGAGTTGTTACAGTGCAGAACTAAGGGAATCGAGGAATATGGAGCAAGTGTGGGAAGGTGAAGTTGAGGTAGAAGGTAATTGTATTGAACGTTGAAGCATCTCAATGGACTTCACAACCTGCTCCAACTCCTATTTCTTAAGTTCTATTATAATTGATATGGTTAATGAGTTTGAGGAGTTCTGACCAAAGAATTACAAAATGTACCATTCTTAACAATGAAGTAGAGGTAAAAAATAAGAAATTAATAAATTAAATGAACTACTGGAATTTCCTTTCTCATTAAGTAGGTCCAGCCTTTGAGGATCATGTGGCCTTATTGCATTTGATTATAATCAAGAGCTTTCTTTGTAAGAAGCACTTTTTTGTTAGCATGACATTCAAGGTCAATGGAGAGTGTAACTCACTAACAAAATTGTAATAGTGGGGCAGGGGAGAGGTGGGGTTGGTGCGTGATGATATGTACCTTTAAGATGGTTTTGTCTGTCCTTGTTCTCTCAAAGGGGTGTGTTATAAACCTGGTACTGAAGTTTCTGCTCAGTGGGAAGCAGAGTAAATAGTTTTGGAGTTATTTAAAATTCGACAAACAAAGTGTGAGTCGGCAGTCAGGCTCACACAGACGCATGGGTTTTAACCTTGCTTTCAGTTGTTGAAGGTGGGGTTTTGGAGTTGAAGCTGCTAGATACAGCTCTCTGTCTGCTGCTGCAAAAGCTTGGGTTCTCTCTTTGCTGTGAGATTCATGCTTTCGGTTTTTCCTTTCTCCTGGACTAGAGATAGCAAATGAGGGAAATCTGCTTTGCTGAATTTGCCTTTGCCAAGGGTGTCTTTATGGGATGCTGCTATATTGGAACAGTTGATGAATAATAGTTAAATAATATATTATTTTGTTAAGTATTTTGATAGAGTTAAAGTTATGCTAATTCTTCTTATCTTGTTTATATTTTAATTGTGATCTAAGAATAAAGTTTGTTTAACTTAAAACCCAGAGTCTGACCGATTGAATCACATCCAGAATGCAGAGCCTTATACTTGCCTGTAAACAAATTAAAAGTTAGGGTTTAGGCTGTCTCTTTGATATGTTTTGAGAGGATTTGGTCTGTACTAGGTGGTAGGAGTCTTAAATGTGAGCAAGATAATTGGATGTGGATTCTGGATGGAGGAGTTAAAAGGGCAAAACTGAAATTGTCTCTAATTCCATAGACATTTGTTTATTGTTCAAGCAGGACATGGTGCCAGCAGCAAACCCAATCCCATCAGGCCGGCTGATATTTTAAATATGCTTATGAGCTGAATGCCTTGAATCAGGTTTAACTATGGCAAGAAATAGCAAGAACTGCAGATGCTGGAGTCAGAATCAATACAGTGTGGAGCTAGAGGAACACAGCAGGTCAGGCAGCATCAGAGGAACAGGAGAGTCGATGTTTCGGGTCAGGACCCTTCAGGATTAGGGAAGGGGAGGGGAGCTGGGAAATAAATAGTGGGAGGAGGGGTGGGGTTGGGGGAAGGTAGGTGGGATGGTGATAGGTGGATTCAGGTAGGGGGTAGTGGGGATTGGTCAGTGGGAAGGTAGGGCAGATATGTGGGGAATAAGGTAGGTTGTGTTGGGTCAAGGGGTTGGGGATGAGAGGGAGGATTAGACATGGGATGAGGCCAGGGGTGGGGAGATTTTGTTAAAGAGCTTCAGGGAGGAGGAGATCACCGGTGGGTTGCATTGGGAGACCCCTGGTCTCATCCCATGTCCAACCCCCTCTCTCATCCCCGCCTCCTTGACTTAACTTCTTCTCTACCTATCTGCCCCACCCTTCCCACTGACCAATCTCCACTATCCCCTACCTGCTTCCACCTATCACCATCCCACCTACCTTCCCCCAGCCCTATCCCTCCTCCATTTATTTCCCAGCTTCCTTCCCCTCCCCATTTCTGAAGAAGGGTCCCGACCCGAAACGTCAACTTTCCTCCTCTGATGCTGCCTGACCTACTGTGCTCCTCCAGCTCAACAGTATATTAACAATGGCAAGGCAGAGTTTTCTAGGCCTTGGGAAATTTGAAATTTTTAGTAAGGTGAGAACAGCCTTTGAAAGAAGGCAAGAAATTATTCCCTCTGGCCCTTCAATCTTACCCAGAATCAGATTCCCCCATTATATAAACCTCACAGCATGAGATGGAATCTGCACATAATCTGCACATAGACTGGCCAAATCAAATCAGTAACAATACTACAGAGGAGGAGTTCTTGGGAGTGTGTACAGGATGGTTTTCTGGATCATTACATGAAGGAACCAATGAAAGAGCAGGTCATCCTAGAATCCGTACTGTGCAAAGAGAAAGGAATAACTGGCAATCTAGCTATGTGAGACCCTTTCGGGAAGAGTGACCAAAAATTGGTAGAATTCTTTACTAAGGTGGAGAGTGATATGATTGACTCTAAGACTAGGGTCCTCAATCTAAGTAACGGAAACTGTGATGGTATAAGGTACAAATTGGCTATGATACATTGGAGAACATTATTTAAGGGGCTGAGGGTAAGTCGGCAACAGCTCATCTTGCATGCACTGATTCTATTATATAGTGCCAATCTCCTCCCTTTTCCTAAACCCCTTACACCATTTCTATCCAAATAATCATTCAATGCCCTCTCAAAAGCTTCAATTGAACTTGCCTCCACCACATTTCCAAGCAGTGCAATCCGTACTCTAATTGTGCAATGTGTGAAAGAGTTTCTTCTAATATCATTCTTGTTTTGTTTGCAAATCACTTTGAATCTATGCCCTCTTGTTCTTTTATTTCTTTTATAAGCAGGAACAGTTTCTTCCTATCTACTCCATCCAGCCCACTCACGATTTTGAAAACCTCAGTCCAATCTTTTCTCAGCCTTCATTTTTCTAAGGAACACAGTCCAAATTTCTTCATACTATCCTCATAACTGAAGTTTTTCATTTCTAGAACCATTCTTGCAAATCTCTTCTGCATTCTTTCCAATGTGTTCACATCTTTCCTATAATGTGGTTCCCACAGCTTTATACAATACTCCAGCTGCGATCTAACAAGTGCCTTGCACAAGTTCAAGATCACCTCCTTGCTCTTGTACTGTATGCCACTAATTAATAAAACCAAGAATGCTGCATACTTTATTAACTGCTCTTCCACCTGGCCACCTTCAATGATGTTCACATGTACCCAGGTCATAAGAACATAAGAACTAGGAGCAGGAGTAGGCCATCCGGCCCCTCGAGCCTGCCCCGCCATTCAATAAGATCATGGCTGATCTTTTTGAGACTCAGCTCCACTTACCCGCCCGGACACCATAATCCTTAATTCCTTTACTGTACAAAAATTTATCTAGTCTTGCCTTAAACACACTCAGCGAGGTAGCTTCAACCGCTTCACTGGGCAGGGAGTTCCACAGACTCACAACCCTTTGGGTGAAGAAGTTCCTCCTGACCTCAGTCTTACATCTGCTTCCCTTTATTTTGAGGCTATGCCCCCTAGTCCTAGTTTCACCTGCTAGTGGAAACACCCTCCCTGCCTCCACCTTATCTATTCCCTTCATAATCTTATATGTTTCTATAAGATCTCCCCTCATTCTTCTGAATTCCAATGAGTATAATCCCAGACTACTCAGTCTCTCCTCATAATCCAACCCTCTCAACTCTGGAATCAACCGAGTGAATCTCCTCTGCACCGCCTCCAGTGCTAGTATATACCTTCTCAAGTAAGGAGACCAAAACTGCACACAGTACTCCAGGTGTGGCCTCAGCAGGACCCTATACAGCTGCAGCATAGCCTCCCTGTTTTTAAACTCCATCCCTCTAGCAATGACAGACAAAATTCCATTTGCCTTTTTAATTACCTGCTGCACCTGCAATCCTACTTTTAGCGATTCATGCACAAGGACACCCAAGTCTCTCTGCACAGCAGCGTGCTGCAATTTTTCACCACTTAAAACATAGTCCATTTTGCTGTTATTCCTACCAAAATGGATGGCCTCACACTTATCAACATTGTACTCCATCTGCCAGACCTTTGCCCACTCACTTAGCCTATTTATATCCCTCTGTAGACTTTCAGTGTCTTCTGCACAATTTGCTCTATCACTCATCTTAGTGTCATCTGCAAATTTTGACACACCACACTCCAAATCATCTATGTAAATTGCAAACAAGGTCCTTCTGCTCCTGTACCCCTATCTTTCAGTGTTCTTCGGACCAAAGTGTATACCACTCAATTCTCTGCATTGAACTCCATCTTTCTACCTATCCACCCACTCTCCCAATTTGTCGATGGCCTTTTGGAGTTCCAAACTGTCCTCTTCACAGTTTACAATTAATCCAAGTGGAGTGTCATCTGCAAACTTTGAAATCGCCCCTGCATACCATGATTAATAGATAACATGAAAAGTAAATGTCCCAATATTGACATCTGGGATTTCCACACAAACCTTTTTCCAACCCAAAAAAATCTATTAACCATTACTGTCTATTTCCTATCATTCAGCCAGTGTTGTTTTTTATCCATTTAGAAAGTGCATAGCGGAACTCCAACAAGTATTCATTCTTACTTGGCACTAAAATAAAATGGGAAATGTGGCTTGACTATGGCCAACAAGAGAAATTAAGGATAATATTAGATCCAAAGAAGGGGCATGCAAATTGACCAAAAAAAAGCAGACTTAGAATTGGGAGCAGTTTAGATTTCAGTAAAGGAAGACAAGTAGATTAAGAAGAGGAAAATAGAGTGCAAGAGTAAGCTTGCGGGAAACATACAAACTGATTGTAAAAGATTCTTTAGTATGTGAAGGGAAAAAGATTAGTGAAAACAAATGTAGGCCCTTTACAGTCAGAAACAGAGGAGTTTAAAAACTGAAACAAAGAGATGGCAGACCAATTGAATACATTGCTTGGTTCTGTTTTCACAAAAGGGGACACAAATAACATTCCAAAGATGTTTTATACACAGTGTCCGGTGATAAGGAAATCAGCATTGCTAGGAAAATTGATAGAATTAAAAACCAATAAATCCCCAGGGCCTGATAATCTACATTCCAGAGTATTTAGAGAAGTAACTTAGAAATAGTGGATAGTCATCATTCAAGGTTCCATAGGCTCTGAAAAAGTTCTAATGGATTTGAGGGTAGCTAATGTAATCCCACTATTTAAAAAAAGGTAAAATGTAGAGCAAAAATAGGAATTATAGACCTGACTTTGGTAATGGGGAAAATGCAGGAGTCTACTAAGGTTTAATAGCAGAGTCCTTGGAAAACCATGGCTAATTTGGTCAATTAGGGAAATTATGGATAGTATTAAATCCAAGGAAGGGACAATGTATCTAAATGATTTAGATGAGGAAACTTTGTGTCATATCTTTAAGTTTGTAGTTGACATTAAGTTTGCTGTGAGAGTGAACTGTGAGGAGGATGCAGGGATGCTTCAATGTGATTTGGACAAGTTGAGTGAATGGGGAAATCCTTGGCAGATGAAGTACAATATGAATAAATGTGATTACCCACTTTGATAGCAAAAGCAGGATGACAGATTATTATCTGAATGACAAGAGATTGGGAAAGGGGGAGGTGCAATGAGATCTGGGTGTCCTTGTACATCAGTTGCTCAAAGTAAACATGCAGGTGCAGCAGACAGTAAAGAAGGCAAGTGGTATGTTGGCCTTCATAGCAAATAGATTTGAATGCAGGAGCATGGGTTTCTTGCTGAAATTGTACCAGGCGAGACCCACACCTGGAGTATTGTGGCAGTTTTGAACAGGAAAGATGGCTATGGAAGAAGTGCAACAAAGATTTATCAGACTCATTCCTGGAATGGCAGGATTGAAGTATGAGGACAGACTGGATCAGTTAACATGATATTCACTGGAGTTTAGAAGAATGATCTCATTGAACCTTATAAAATTCTAACAGGACTAGACAGGGTAAATGTAGGAAGGATGTTTGTGATGACCAGGGAGTCCAGAACCAGGAGTCACAATCTAATGTTATATGGTTGGCAATTTAGGACTGAGATGAGGAGTACTTTCTTCACCCAGAGAGGGGTAGCCTGTGGAATTCTCTGCCAAAGAAAGCAGCTGAGGCCAAAACATTGAATGTTTCGAAGAAGGTGTTGGATTTATTTCTTAGGGCTGAAGGGAACAAAGGGCATGGGGAGAAAACAGGCACATGATACTGAATGGGATGATCAGCAATAATCATATTAAATAGCGGAGCAAGCTTAAAGGACCAAATGTCCTGTCCCTGTTCCTATTTTCTATGTTTCTATGAACCCAGGCTTTTGAGTTTCCCACAGCACTACCAACCCCTCTCAGTCCCAGCTTGTCAGTATGTTTATATACAACCCATGATGTCTAACAGAAAATATTTAAATAATTTGTAAAAAAAATCGTCCTTTATTGATGCTGTGGAAGCAGCCCGGGAAGCTTTATACCTTGAATGTGATTAAGGCCTTTGCCTGAACTGAAATGTTAGACCCTCAGAACGATAGAGTGTGATGTTAATAATCTTCCCAACTTTTCCAATATAACTTTTTATTATATACAAATAATTTAGTCACTACTGTTGCTTTTCAGGATGCAGATGGAAATTATTTGCTACCACAAGATGTAGAGCTTGAGTGTGTAAAGCATTGTGTGGTATATGATGGGCACACAAAATCATCTGATGTGGAAGGTAAATAGAAAATCAACATATACAGCTATAATCATTTAGATAAATTAAGAAGTTATACCATTAGATTACTGGTGATAGTAAAACTATTGTATGTCCCATCTGATATCCATTGACAGATGGAGGGCATAATGAATATCCAAGGCAAATGCAACCAATTTTATGCCATTGAACAAGGTGTATTTTTACTATATGGTGTGTACCTTCAACAATACTGACTATCTGGATGCCTCAGTCGGTTCAGCCATTCAGCAGCCAAGTCATAATATTAGGAAAGACGGCAGTTTGATTTCGGATCCATGTTCAGTTAGCTAATCTTAAAATGGGTATCAACAAAGTTCCATAATTGCCCTTTATACCTTCAAATTGGGAAGGTGCAGTTGTATCATCTGAGCGCTGAATTGTGATGTTCTCCTTTCTCTCTTATTGAAGAACCTCTGTTTTACATTGCATCTCCACTTAAAAGACCTGAAAGAAAATGATCACCTACGCTCCAACTTTTCCTGTCCAAGAAATAATTTTGAATTATGAATTTGTACATTGAGTCAGTATGGTTACACATACAAACAAACTAATTAGGAGCAAAAGTAGGCCATTTGGTCCCTCGATCCTGTTGTCATTCAAAATTATCATGGCTGATTATTCTACATTCCCAACTACCTGAAAAAAACCTTTTACCGGTTGCTTATCAAGAATCTATTGACTTCTGCCCAAAAAATATTCAAAGATTCTGCTTCCACTGTTTTGCAGAAGAGTTCCAAAGATTTGCCTCTCTCCTTGAGAAAAAAATTGTCCTCATCTGAAACTTGAAAGGGTGATTGCAGCATATGGTCTGCCTTCTTAAGTCCCTTATATGACCCTTAATTATTTAAATTAGCTGTGTGCCTTTGATCAAACCAACTTCTGCACTTACAATCTCACTGTTGGTAAAATAGCCTAGTCATGGGGCTTTATTGGGGAGCTACCTGAACATGGCTTCTGTGGCATGTTACTGCCTTCCAGCCCCAGCCTGCTACCCATGGGCCAGTAAAATCCCCCTTTCAATTCTGAATTATCATCAAGCAACTGGAATACACAATCTACAGGGGGTTCGCCCCAGAGTCAGACGTATGCCATTCAGATTCTGGAATTCACAGACCGAGTGTATGAATTAAGACCAATTTCCTTAAACTGAGGTTTCACAATACTGTCATTTTGGGTTAATAAGTCATGATACTAATTAATTCTGTATCAATTCTAGGTCCTGCTATTCAATATGCAAAGCTACTAGAAGTTATCAGTCGCCAACCTATCATGGTCCTGAATGGTGGGTATGAATTCTTCTCTGCCTGCTATCCATTCTTCAGGACACAGAGAATATTTTACACGCCACAGGTATGTTTGGTTATCTTGAGCCATCCGACTTTGTTAAGTCTGTTGAATCTGTGTTACAAAAGGGAGTTGCACAGGGTATTGTACGATACCCCTGTGCATTCTTTATGATAATCTGTACCTGCAACATAGTTTTAATGGTGGTATCACTATTGTTGGGGAGAAAAAAGATTCACATTCAGATTGCTTTTTCGCTTCCCTAACAGGTGTTAAAACAAGAATCGAAATAGCTCTGTAAAGCCTCTGCGCACTTGTTCTACTGTTAAACAAGTAATTGTGTTGTTTGTCATTTCAAAGATGTTTTCACAAAGGAGAGGGACAAAGCAGAAACTGTAGTTAAGGAGGAGTAATGTGAAATAATGGATGGAATTAACATTGTGAGAGAAGAAATATTAAGATGATTAGAACACTGAAAACAATCATATCAGCCAGTGTGGCTGAAAGGTATTCCAGGCTGCCAAGGGAAGAAATAGTGGAGGCTCTGACCATCATTTTCTAATTCTCTCTGGCTATTGACGTTGGTGCCAAAGGACTGGAGAAATGTTAATGTGCTGTTGTTTTAAAAGAGAGAAGGCCTGAGTAATTACAGCCCAGTCAGCTTTACCCTGCTGCTCAAGAAATGACTGGAAAAATTTCTGCAAACCTGTAAGAATTATCATTTAGAAAAACACAGATTAGGTTGTAGACTTTCTCGCTGAGCTGGTGTGTTTTATTGCAGACATTTTGTCACCCTGCTAGGTAACGTTACTGTAAATTACCCAGCAGGGTGACGAAACGTCTGCAATCAAACACACTGGCTCGGCGAGCAAGTCTACAACCTCATCCATAACCCAAGCTACAAATCTTCTCTCATGGACGTGAGAGACATTAATCATGGACATTCAACTTTGTTAAAGCAAGTCCGAGCCTGATAAAATGATTGAAATTTTTGAGTGAGTAATAAGGAGGATTGATAAGGGCAGTACATGCGATGTACATTACATGGATTTTAGCAAGGCTTTTGACAAAGTCTCACATGGCAGACTTACTTCTTGCGCTTAGGTTTAGTTCTCCTAATCCCATGTGGGACAATGGCCATTAGACAGCTGCCATCCCTGGTCTATCTCTTTTGCTCCATCCCAGGTGATGCCTACATGGCAGGCTGATCTGTAAATTAGAAACTCATGGGATTGGAGGGAAAATGGCAAATTGAAACTCAGTGACAGGAAGCAAAGAGAATTGTTGGATAACTGTTTTAGTGATTGACAGGGTGTGATTAAGAAGGTTACAAATTGTATGAGAATAACTTGATGTGGTTGATGGTGAGGGTGAAAATCACAGAATATAGGAAAAAATCAATGAACTAGTCAGTTGAGGAAAACAGGTGGCAATTATAATTCATTCTGGAGAAGCGTAAGGTAATGTATTCAGGGTCGTCAAATAGCACCAACAAACACACAATGAATGGTGAGATTCTGAAATGTGTAGAAGAACAAAGGGACCTCAGAGTATATCTCTACATATTTTAGATTTCCAGCATCCACAGTTCTATGTTTTATGTTACTGAAGTAGTGCATGTCCATACACAGCAAGAACTGGATAATATTTAGGTTTTGGCTAAAAGGTTGCAAATAATATGTTTGGCATTGTCTGGCAAGAAATGACCATGACCAACAAGAGAGCTTCTAATTATCTCCCCTTGAGTCCACAGTCTAATGGTAGAGCGAGGTCAAGGAGACAAATGGACTACTCTGGTTCCAAATTTGTATATTCTTATCTCTTTGTCCCAGACGAAGGGAGATCTGAATTCTACAAAGACAGATAAATATGCAGATGCATGTGGTGTAAGCAATTTAAGCAGGTTCTGAATTTATTGAACATAGAAATTTTTAAATCTTTCTGCATGATGAATTGTCTCTAGGAGCTGGACGCCTTTGAACCCTATCCTGTTGAGATTTTACCAGCCAAACTTTACATGGGTGATTTTAAACAAGCCTCTGACAGGCAAGTTCAGAAAGATCTAAAAGTCAAGGCTTACCTCAACCTCTGTCATGAAAAAGACATAATGTGAGTGGTTTGAACAATACTGTTTGCTATCTTGCGGATACAATTCCTATGTAACTCTCCAATCTACAGTATTGCGGAAAGACCGCGTGATCACGCCAGATGAGTCAATGAGAATAAAATGATGGGTTTTGAGACTGACCTGATGTGCGTGGATCCACACAGGGAATCAATGGATAACGAGAAATGAATACACCGGGTTCCCGATTTACAAATGTCTGACCTACAAACGCACATATTTACGAATTCAATCTCATATAGGGATGTAATTTTAAAGATGCGACATAGGCGCATTTACTGTAGCTATGAGAGGCTCCTTTATGTTGTCCTTCCTTGTGTTCCAACTTACGTGCAAACAGGCTTGCGAACAGACTCCGCAACGGAACCCATTCATGCCCCAGCGATTGCAGTACATACTCATCGGCACCTTTGTGGGACCAGATTTTTATGTTTACATTTTCTAAATAAATTAAAAATGAGCATGAGTATCCATTTATCTATAAATATAGGAAAGCTTGGACAGAAACCTCTCCAATACCTTGAAATTTCTCATTCATGAAGGATCCTATCGCACAGGTGGTTATTTAATCCGTCATGCCTATGCGATTTTCTAAGGGTTTAAGCAATTTGTCCCACTTATCTCTTCTCGTTCATAGCCTTGTGAATCTTTTCAACGATATGTACAATTATTTTGTTCTAAAATTGATCTACAATAATCCGTATGCACCACCCTTATTCCACAATGTAGTTCTAGTCTTACGATCTTATGATATCACATTACAAAACAATTGTTACAATCTATTTGTCCTTTTAGCATCCCAGAAGAGAGTGTTATTTCAATTTTACACATTCCTTCTTCAGAAGAAACCAGTCTTTTGGCCCATTTCCCAAAGATCTGTGAATTTCTTGGTGAGTTTAGTTACTACTCCTGCAAATATTAAATTTACTTTGCAGCACACAAATGCAAGTGTCACAGTACATAAAAATGCACTGTATAACTTCAATGAGTTAATAGTCTGCCTGTCTACGCTGAGGCCTGCAGTCCCTGGACTATAAAAGTCAACATGTTAGGGAAGAGGTTTAGATTTTGTGGTTAAAAAAAGCTTCATTGAAGCAATCCACCAGTTGCTATGTTTCTGTGACTTTTTTGTGCTCGAAAGTTAAGGACATTAGTGCAGGAAGGTTACAATGAAGGACTCTCCTTAACCTCTTCTCTTGCCTCAGATGTGGTAACTGTCAGATTAAACCACCACCAATCATCTCTCTAAAGAAAGAGCAGCTCTGTGGTCTGGTAGGATTGTAACAACTTTATCTTTTTTAGTGTGGGGAATAGAATATTTTCTGTTTTGGGAATCTAGTGGATGTATCAAGCAATCACTGCTTAGATAATAGCAGAATAAATCAGAATATCTCAACTGGAATTTCAGAAAAGCACCAATGTGAGTCAGTTTATCAGTCTGGTCAGGTGATATGACTATTTAATATCAATTTAGGGACAGTCTTGTACTGCTTTAGTACAGAACAAATAACTTATCATTCAGTGACTTATAAATCACAGAATTATAGAATTTTACAGCATCCAAAGAGGCCATTTGAACCATTGTGTTTGTACCAGCTCCTGAAAGAGCATCCCAGCTATTCCCAATATCCAGCCCTTTCTCTGGAGCCCTGTATATGAAAAGAAATTAATTCATAACTTTGTTGTAAAAGGTCTTTTAGGAAAAACTGTTCATAGCATGATAGAATTCTTCATTGGGATACAGAATGATGAGTCAAATCTGAAACGAGGGTCCTAAATCTAAACAAAGGAAACTGCAAAATTATGAGTGGTGAGTTGGTTGGAAGTAGACTGAGTAACTTCATTAAAAGGCATGTCAGTGAATAGGCAATGGTTAGTATTTAAGGAACAAATGCATGCATTGTAACATTTATACATTCCTTTTGGGCCGAAATAACACAACAGGAGAAGTGGCTTAACCATGGCTAACAAAAGAAACTAAGGATAGTAGTAGATCCAAAGAGGAGTCATATTGAGTTGCTAGAAAAGACAGCAAGCCTGAGGACTGAAAGCAGTTCAGAATTCAGCAGAGCAGAACCAAGAAATTGATTAAGAAGGGAAAAAATACACCATATGAGGAATATAAGAGTGAACTATAAGAGATTAAATAAGAATGTGCAAAGTAAAATATTAGTGCAGACAAGTACAGACGCCTTACAATCTGAAAATGGAGAATTGATAATGGAGAACAAAGAAATGGCAGAGCATTTAACCAACTACATTAGTTCTTCTTCGCAGAAGAAGATACAAATAATTTTCCAGAAATTATATGGAAGCAAGGGTCTATTGCGAAGGAGGAATTGAAAAGATTAATATTATGAAATTGTAGCACTGGAGAAATTAATGGGACTGAAAGCTGATAAAAACCCCAAAGCCTGATAATCAGGGTATTAAAGGATGTGGCCGTAGAAATAGTAGATGTGTTCGTCATCATCATCCAAAATTCTTAGATTCTGGAACAGTTCCAGCATACTGGAGAGTGCAAAATGTAATCCAATTGTTTAAAAAAGGAATGAGGGAAAAAACTGGGAATTACAGATTGGTTAGCCTAATATCAATAGTAGGAAAAGTGCGTATGTCTGTTATAAAGAATGTGATTACAGGACACGTAGAGAATGCAGAAGGGATGACATAAAGTCAAAATGGATTTATAAAATATAAATCATGTTTGTCAAAACTACTGGAGTATTTTGAAGATTTAATTAGTAGAATAGATCAGGAAGAAGCAGAAGATGTGGTAGGTTTGGATTTTCAGAAAGCTTTTGATCAAGTCCCACATTTAGTGTGCAGAATCAAAACCCATGGGATTGGTGGTAATATACTGTCATGGATTGAGAATTTGCCAGTAGACGGGAAAAAGACAGTGGGAATAAATGGGTCATTTCTGGAATGGAAGGCACTGACTCAGATAAGACAGGAATAGCCTTCCATAAAAATTAAAACTTTTAATTGGAGTAAGGCAAATTCTAATGGAATGGGACAAATACTTTCAAAAGTTAATTGGAATAGACTATTCAAAGGTAAAGGGACGTTTAGTATGGGGGAGGCTTTCAAAAATGTGATAACGAGAGTTCAGACTCATTATGTTCCTGCTAGAGTGAAAGGTAAGGCTGGAAGGACTGGAAAACAATGGATGAACAAAGATATTGAGGTTCTAGTGAAGAATAAAAAGAATAATAAATTAGATATAGACAACTGGGTTCAAATGAATCTCTTGAACAGTGAGGGAGATCATTGAGTCAAAGAGAAGAAATGAGATAGCCTTGGCAAATAAGGTTAAGGATAACCCAAAGAGATTCTACAAAAACAATCGGAACCAGAGAGCAACTAGGGAGAGAGCAGGGCCCCTTAAAGATCAAAGAGGTTGTCTACGTGTTGAAGGTCAGGAGATGGGAGAGATATTAGATGAATATTTCCCGTCAGTTTTTACTGGAGAAAGAAATGGAGACTAGAGAACTGAGGGAAAGAAATGTTGATGTTTTGAAAACAGTTCACATTACAGAAGAGGAAGTGCTGGAGATCTTAGAAAACATAAAGGTGGGTAAATCTCCAGGACATGATCTAGTGTATCCCAGGATGTCGTGGGGAGTTAGGGAGGAAATTGCAGGGCGTCTTGCAGAAATATTTGTATCATCTATAACTATGGGTGAGATGCCGGATGAGTGAAGGGTGGCTAATGTTGTCCCTTTGTTTGAGAAGGGATGTAAAGAGAAGCCTGGGAACTATAGCCTTGTGAGTCTGTCTTTGGTGATGGGTAAGTTGTTGGAAGTGATTCTGAAAGATAGAATTTATATGCATTTGGAGAAGCAAGGAATGATTAGGGATAGTCAGCATGGTTTTGTGCGAGGGAAATCGTGTCTCACAAACTTGATTTGAGTTTTTTGAGGAAATGACCAAAAGATTGATGAGGGCACAGGGGCAGACATTGTTTACTTGGACTTTATTAAAGCCTTTGACAAGGTTTCACATGGTAGACTAATTAGTGAAGTTAGATCACATAGGATTCAGGATGAGCTTGCCAATTAGATACAGGGGGTTCTGTTATAACACCATAGATGTGTTCCTGTGAAACAATGCGTTACAGAAAATCATGCTATAGAAATAATGGGGCCTATGGGAAAAGGGTAGTTAGACTCAGACCAACAAAAAAAATCACTCAAAATGAGTCAAAAATCACTCAAAAGCGTAACACAAAGGATGGCACAGTTTGAAAAAAGTTGAATTCACACGTAATAATGAAATAACAGTAAAGTTATCACCTTATCTTGAAAATGTGTCAAGATGACTTGATGGGGGAGGAAGTTCTGATGTAGCTCTGTTGTTAATGTAGGGGCTGAGTGTTGTCATCATCATCATCATCACCACCACCACCTTCAGGTACAGTTTTGTTTGCAGGGTTAGGGCAAGATCAAAGACCAACACGATGTTCTTTGATTCTTGGGAGCTCCTCTGATGGATCTGTGTAAAGCATGAAAAAGATCTGGGAGAAGCTTTCACCAAACTGCACGCAAGCAGTCCTTACTGGCATCACCCCAGGCCTCCATGATAATGTCAATTGCCTTCTTGATGTTAAAGTTCTTCCAAAATTGAAGAACACTGTCCTTATCCTCCTCAGTGGCTGCAATCAGTCTGTTAAATGTGCACCTTAAATAATAAGCTTTAAAAGCTGCTATTGCATCCTGGTCCATGGGTTGAAGGAAATAGGTTGTGTTTGGGGGTAGAAATAGCACTTTGATGTTTTCAGAAAGCTCACCAATGGTCTGAGGATGGCTTGGCACATTATCCAGGATGAAGAGAATCTTGAAATCCACATTTTTTTTTTCCTGCAATACTTTATAAAAACATCTTCCAAAACATCAACAATAAGGTCAGAAATAATTTACCCAGTCATCCAACCTCTTTTGCTTGACATAAAGTAGATGCCTAGAGTAGACTTAAGGTAACCTTTCAAGGCTCACAGATTAGCAGAGTGGTACACCACCACAGGCTCAAAACCTTATTAAGCTTTAACTCTCCGCTGGCATTGGCACCCAGCAGCACAGTCATATGATCCTTTGCCATCTTAAAGCCTGGAGGGTGTTTTTCATTTATAGAAATGTAGGTTCTTGATGGTATTTGCTTCCATTATAAACCTGTCTCCTCCAAATTGAGAATTTGGTCTAAGTTGTAGCCTTCTTCATCAAATAATTTTTTTACTATGGGAGGAAATGCCATTGCATGCTCCTCATCTGCACTGGCAGCTTCACCACATGACTTTACGTTATGAAAAACATAAAGGTTCTTAAAACCAGCAAACCAGCCACTGCTAGCTCTAAAGGTAGGCACATCTACAGGATTTTCAGCTTGTTTTGTTAGCTCTTCATAAATTGAGAAGGCTTTCTCTTTTATGCTGAGAAGGGTGGTCCCAGATCGTTTCTTCGTTTGCTCTTCTATCCACACACTTAGAAGCCACTCCACCTCCTCAAGTTCCTTGATGCCAGCGTGGAAACTCTTTTGGCACATGCTCAGGACAAAGCCTGCAAACTGACCATGTGATGTTGGCATTGGAATCGCACTATAGCCAACACAAAGCTCACGTTTTACAAATACCATTCCCCTATTCGTCAATTGCATTATAGCCAACTCGCATTGTACAAAATTGGCTTAATGGCAGGACACAAGAGAGTGATGGTGGAGCGTTGTTTTTTGGACTAGAGACCTGTCACCAGCGGTGTTCCACAGGGATCAGTGCTGGCCCACTTTTGTTTGTCATTAATATAAATGATTTAGATGAGAATATAGAAGGCATGATTTGTAAGTTTGCGGATGATACCAAAATTGGTGGTAAAGTGCACAGTGAAGAAGATTATCTAAGATTACAAAGAGATCTTGATCAATTGGGTCAATGGGCTGAAGAGTGGCAGATAATTTGGATAAATGTGAAATATTGCATTTTGGTAAACAAACATTGACAGGAATTATGCAATTAAAAGTAGGGCCTTGGGTAGTGTTGCAGAACAGAGAGAACCAGGGGTTCAGGTATATAATTCTTTGACGTTTGCATTACATATAGATGTGTGGTTAAGAAAGCATTCAGCATGCTTCCCTTCATTGCTCAGACCTTTTAGTATAGGAGTTGACCCCACATCTCCGGTGACACACCGGGCTACACACACACACACACACACACCGTTGGTTGTTATCCAACAGCGTGCAAAAGAAAGGTTGTAACAAAGCATATCCTGCAGTTTCCCACACCCATATCCCACTGGTGTTTGCTACAATGATTGAGCAAATTCAGGACCTATGATTCTGCAATTATCTCACTCAAAGTCTGTTTTCTTTTCTTGATTACATGTAATTGGGGAATTTAATATAAGGTGTGTCAAACATACTTCAAACATATTCCTTTCTTTCAGATGAACAGTCAGCTAAAGGTGCGGTGCTGGTATTCTCCACTCTGGGTATAAGTCGTTGCTGTACTGTAGTGATAGCCTACCTCATCTATTCCCAGAAAATTACACTAAAGGTAAATGAAAAAGTCTTTTACACAAGTGACTTACGTGGTAGTATCGAGAAGGACAGACATACTCCTAGAACAATATGATAACGCCACTCTTAAACTATCAGAACTATCTTTTATTCACTATCATCTGGTGACCTGTGTTCGATTACACCCTTGGGTGATTGTCTGTGTGGAGTTTGCATATTCTCCCCGTGTCTGCATGGGTTTCTGCATGATGCTCCGGTTTCCTCCACAATGCAAAGATGTGCAGGTTAGATGGGTTAGCCATGCTGAATGTGGGGTTATAGGGTTAGGGTGGAAGGGCTGGGTTTGGGAGGGATGCTGTTCAGAGGGTCAGTGCAGACTTGATGGGCCAAATGCCCTCTTTCTGCACTGTAGGGATTCTAGGTTTACAGTGTGAAAAACATGAGTGGCTGTATATCTCGATTCCAAAAAAAATTGGAAATATAAAGGAAAATTAATCAGGATACTACACTAGGGTATGGATGTGTACTGTGGCATGCCTTTGGGTAGGGACTAGTGATAAAGGAGGTGGAGCCTCCTAACTGTGGACATTTCTACTTTTTTGGACCAGTGTGTACCCCACTATACTGCATCCTCTTGATGTTGACCATTGTCTATATGAAGTCCCTTTCCCCATCTGTCAGCTGCAGCTTGAACGGCTTAATTTGCAGCATGAGAAAGCATGGAACAAAATAAAATGAGTCTCTTCCCAGACTGAGGCCAAAATTTCTGCTTTTACTTGAAAATGTGGTGGGAAGTGCCATTATGTGCTGAACACCCCTCGCCAACACAAATAGAAGAGCCCAACAAATTTTGTGCCTTTCAGACTCCTACGTGGTCACTTAGTGGGCTTTTCAGCAGATCTGGAGCTGTTGGAAAATCAGGGGTCAGCAGCTACTTTCAGCACATACTTCGGAGGCTGTGTTTGCTAATGGCACACCCACACCAAAGTCCAGGAGGAGCCAGCAAGGGTGGGGCTCATGGTGGAGGCATGTCAGGATGTCAGCAGCAATTGGCAAAGTTCCGTGGCCACCTCCCTGCCCCCACCCTTTCACCAGCATCTGTGATCCCTGATCAACCCCAGATTAAGGCAGATCAAGGCCCCTTTCCCCACTAACCTGTTAGTAGGCTGCTGTACTTTACCAATCAGGTGGGTTGCCACTATTCTTGCCTGCTGGAAACACAGTTAATTGTGGTCAGGGTTTGGAGAGGATCCTAAACGTTTGTTAATTGATGGTTACTAGTTGATCACTTAAGCCCTCAAATGGTGGCAGCAAGGAAAGGTGAAGCCTAGGGCCTGCCCACTTCAGATTTATTTCTTATACTGGTGGGAAGGCAGAGACTATGTCCCTGACATCAACCTGACCGGTAATCCTCCTCTCCAGCCACTTGTCTCCATGCTTCATGACAGGCAAAGATTCTGCCCCCGAGAAAAACGTCATTTGATCACAACTCTATGTTGAAATAACTCTATGGAGGCTGGTACCCTGTCACCAAGTCACCCTTTATTTACATATGCACAGTACATGGACTCTGACCAATCAAATCAGAGCCAGTCCCCAGAGGAGAATCCCTGAGACTCCTGCTTATATCTGTCAGTCAGGACTCCTTGATTGGTCCAGGTTAACAGCCCCAATCAGAGAACTAATATTCAATAAGATCTGCCTGGCCAACCTCGTTCTAATCACTACACTAGTTTAAATGTTTTTATCTTGGAGTCCATTCTCCACATCAACCATTCTAGCTGGGAAGAACGATTTCTTCTCTCTATTGTTGCTTGAAATGGAAATGTTCCTGGGATGCTGCTATTTCTATTTTTCATTTACATTCATTCCTTCAAATCCTGTTAACATGCCATTTCCCAATGATGGAATTTGGAGAAGACTAGATGCTGAGGGCATCTGATGGATCCAGAGATCTCTAATAATCATCTTTTATCAGTTGTTCAACCTCACCATAACTTACTGCAGTGGTAACTTGTAAATATATCTACTTCATTTCCAGTTAAACGCCCCAAAGCCTGAGCGAATGATAGCTATAAGGGTATAGTTCAGGTCTACCATTCACGAAGGTAGTTGCCACAAGCAGAGCAAATCTAGAATTTATATTAAGAAAATTCTTGGGATTTCTAAGGGTCGATCCAACAAGAAGGCACAGATCCTTCTAACAAATGTGTTCAAACTCCAAAATAGTTCCTACAAAAAGAAAGAGGGAAAGGCACTGTGCCAAGCAGTACATGTGGGGAAGGCCCCCACCCAGCTACAGTGATGAAAATTGAGCCGCAGTTTTCTTGATACTCCTGAGGAATGTAATTTTATTTTATTGCCATCTTTTGAATGCTGGCATTTCCAGATGCATTAAAAGTACCTAAATGTTCCTTTCCCCTAGGATGCCTGGGCACTTGTTCAGAAGTGTAAAGCAACCATTCGGCCACATCGAGATTTTGTACAACAGCTTTCTAACTGGGAGGAAACTATATTGCAGCAAAAGATCACAAATATCTCTGACCCTTATTATTGAAATGGTATTTTTTAGCTGTTAAAATGAAGGTGCATTCACCATAAATTTAAAGTTGAATACATTTGTGTTTTTTTTAAGAGTTAACAATTTGATATATGGAAAATGCCCAAGATTTAATTTATACTAACACTGTGATTTTAATTTTCTGTATAATTCCTAATTGTGATTGTAGCATTTAGTATAACATCAAATTAATGCATTTTTGATTATATGTAGCGAATTTATCATTTATTTATATATAAAGCTTTCGTATGAGTGCAATGTTAAATATTGTTTTAAATTATGCTTGACTGTGCGAAGTGTTGTCAGAACATGTGAAACCAAGCTGAGCAACTGTTTGAGGGAATTTGTCACTATTTCATTTGGATTTGTTTTGTTATCTCCTGAATCATTATTTTTCACAGTTGAAAATGAGGAAATTGAAAAAAATGTATTAGATTCCTGTGGGCAAGGATGTGAAATGAGTCCGTTTTGGCACGAAGGAACCACAATAGGCTTGGGAAACTACCTACTTGGAAAGCTTCAAACCATTCCATGATGTGTGGCACAGTGGCTCAGTGGCTCAGTGGTTAGCACTGCTGCCTCACAGCACCAGGGGCCTGGGTTCAATTCCACTGTCAGGTGGCTATCTGTGTAGAGTTTGCACATTCTCCCTGTGTCTGCATGGGGTTCCTCCAGGGTGCTCCAGTTTCCTCCCACAGTCCAAAGATGTGCAGGCTAGGTGGATTGGCCGTGCTAAATTGCCCATAGTGTTCACGGATACGTAGATTAGGTGGTTTATAGGGGGATGGGTCCGGGTGGGATGCTCTGAGGGGTGGTGTGGACTTGTTGGGCCGAAGGGCCTGTTTCCACACTGTAGGGATTCTAAGCCTAAGCGTGCTGTGTTCCAAAACTAAAACTAAGAGTCTCCTAGTAAAAGAAGTCATATCATTCTTATTCCACGAAAAGAGCAATCAATTTCTCTTTCAGGTATGTAAAGTACTTTACAATTGAAAAGGATGTTTGATACTGTGATTGAGAATCATATTAATAGAATTTTGAAAGGCTTCTGCTACAACTTGGCAAACAAACTGAGAAAACCTCCACAGTTGTTTACTGCATTTCTTTAGGGCTTTTATTAGTATTATCGTTCTTGGTTTAAAGAGTTGTGTTAGACAGATAGAATGCCATCCCTCATTTCTGCCAATTGTTAGGATTTGGGTTACAATTAAGGGTGTAAAGTGCTAGGAGCCCCAGCCCCACTATACTTTAATTTAGTTGCAGGCAGCTTACCATTAGCCTCAAAGGTTTGTAGGCTTGACTTCAATCCCTGGATGTGAATGGATAATTTAAGCAAACACTCCCATGCTAAATTATTCAAGATGTTGTACTTCATTTGTGTGATCTCAGAAGGCGATGGAGGCAAGTCATTGAATATTTTTAAGATAGAGGAGGAAAGGTTTTTGTTAGCCAGGAAAATTGAGGGTTATCGGGCGTAGACAGGAATGTGGAGTTTGAAAACCAACAGATCATCTGTGACCTTATTGAATGCTCGAGTGACCAATTGCTTCTGCTCCTAAATCATATGTTCATAATTTAAAAGACATGAAACTGGAGTTTTGGAGTGAATATTAAAGATCCAATATCACACTTTGAAGAGTAGTGAGCCCTTCCAGAATCATTTGACCTTAAGTATTTAATGTAGGTTGACGGGCCTTGGCATCCTTTAAATACAGCTTTAATGGTTTAAATTATTACAACCAAGGCAAACTACTAAATAGGACTAAACAATGAAAAAGAAATGCTTTCAAGTATATAACAGGATTTGAGGAAAAGGCAAAAGAATGGAATTGAAGTAATACTGGTTTATCCATCATTGGCTGTATGATAGCCCTGCTGTAATGAGTAACAAAATATTTTTCAATACTTTTCAAGGGCTGATCTTGAGATTTTCTCAAGGGCTCATTTTTGACTTTCAGAGGATATGTTCTGATTTTTTGCAGCTCTACTTCCATTCTCACTAACTGGGACCTTAGAATATGCAAAATGGTTGCAAGTTTGTTTCTAACAGTCCAGTAATTTACAGAATGTGAACGCTTTTAGATGTGATAACACAAATCCAAATCTTCTTTACAGAGCAGAAATGTTGATTTTAGAATCAGGATAGTTAGCACTCGGGGGCTAATTAAAAATCATTATTTTGACTTGTAGTTAGAAAATATTATTGATTTTGTCTCCTGGATTTCACTTGTTCTTGCAGCAAAGATAAATGAGGGGAAATTTGATATAGGTGGACAAGGAAAGCTGTTTTCATTAGCTGAAAGTATAAGGAATAGGGTATCTAGCTTTAAGGTTCTAGCCGAGAGACGTAGGGGAGATGGAAGACGAACATTTTATGTAATGAGTGCAAGTAACCGTGAACCTGCTGTCAATGAGAGTTGTGGAATTGATGGTGGTCAATAATCTTGAACGGAAATTGGATGGGTGCTTATAGGACCATAGGATAGGTAGCAGAATGAAGCTATCCGAAATGATCTACAGAGAGCAGATACCCGATTGTCCATAACAGCACTGTCACTTAAACTTGATTCTCAGCTGATACAACCTTCCACTTTGTGAATAATGAGACTTTTTATTTACAAGCACCTCAACCAACATCACGAAAACAAATTATCGGGTCACTATCACAGCCCTGTTTGCAGGACCCAGCGCTCAGTAAATTGGCTGCTGCATCTCCTATATTACAATGGACTCTCAGCTTTTCAAATTGATCATAGTCTGATGATCTTTGTGGTGTGACACCTATAGTACTGAAGAACCCACATTGTTCTGTGTCCTATGCTCCAAAAGGTTTTCTTGCTGTCACAGTATTAATCCTTAAATAAGCTTGTTTGCGAGTGATTTTTATCATCTATAACCAACAGAATAATTTGGTCCATCTAAAGTCACTGTTAGGTCATGGGGACATTGTGTACACATGGCCAATCTCCAGAAGGATCATGGGCAGCATGAAGACTGCAACATTAACAAAACGGTTGGAATTGCACTGACAGGCAAAGACATCATCTATATTCTCTAAAATAACTGATTTTCATTTCATTTAATGTTGCACATTGCTTTTTATAAACTTTTGTGCTGACTAGGTAAGAGATCATATATTTTCTTTTTTGGACTATAAACTGAAATGAAAGTTGGTTTTCTATAAGGTGGAATACTGGGATAGTTTTCGACTTGAAAATCAAGTACTACATGTTTATATTTGCACAGGCCCTACCTAAATTTAAGGAAAGTGATGTAGAGGTGCCTTTTATGTCATTTGAAGAAATAACAAAATTGGCCGAAGGAAAGCTGGTTGACAGTTGATAGCAAATTGACCAGTAGAACTCAAGAAATTTATGCATTACCTGTCAAACAAGCTTTCTACAGATTATGACACCAAGAAAAAGGCTACTCTGGATGTGTCTGAGTTAATTTCCAAAGCAACCAGTCAAAAATTTGAAAGATAAGGCAAAGTAATTTTGACAGGTGGATATTGGCATTATGAATAAATGATGCAGCTAAACCCTTCACTATATTAAGAGACACAGAAGCTACTCAAACTCTTTTGCAGGAAACGGAAACAGTTTGTCCTCCAGACAGTGCAGGGAAAGACAAAGCACTATAAAAAGGATAAGTGGACACTATATCCTGGTGGCATTTTACAAAGCGCAATTGAAGTGTGACTTGTTGTCCAGAACACTGGTATTAGGAGTTAAGAAATTATTCATGGATGGACCTGACTTATTCCTAGGGAATGATTTGGCTGCAGTAAAAGTCATAGCTTCATCGATAGTCGCAGAAAGCCCAAAGGAGATTTAAGAGACTGAACAGTTATAGGAACAAGTTGTATGGTGTAGAGCTCTGGTCACAGCACTAAAGGAATGATGAGATTGCATTAAGAAGATGCAGAGGAGATTTACCAGGATGCTGCCCAGGCTGGAGAATCTGAGCTATGAGAAAAGATTGGAAAGGCTGGATTGTTTTCCTTAGAGAAGCAAAGGCTAAGAGGGGATACAGTAAGTCAGAAATTCTTATAACATTTAAGCAGTATTTAGATATTAACTTGAAAATAAGATTAGTGTATCAGATCTTTATTCAGTGCCGTGTACACAATTGGTCAGGCTTCAAAGATGACACCCATGCCAGGGATCCTGGATATCCTGGCGATGATAGGTACATAACACCTCAGTGAGTGGGAGATTACGATGAGTGGGGTGCCATCGGGTGTGCTGCACAGGTAATAAGGTGAAGATAGCATGAGAAAAGATGCTAGGTCTCACGGAAAGAAAACTTCCTTGAAATTTGCCAAAATTAACACTTGATTTCCTCTAAGATTTGACCAAAAATTTTTGTCCCCTAGTCAATACTAGACAGAACTTTCCAGAAATTATGGCCAAGTGCCAAGAAGAAGAAAAAATACAGACATTTACTAATGATATGTACTGGTCTCACTAGTGTTGTGTACCTCAAAGTAGAGGTCCAGTATGTTCATTTCCAAGTGTGACTTTTTAATTGCTGTTTTTTCTGTCTGGGTGGCACTGTGTAGTTAGTGGCATACATATCATAAGTCCAGCAAAGTCTCCGTTTTAAATTTTTAAGCAGAAGAATATAGCTTTATTTTAAAAGAAAGAATCTCTTTCCTCATACCTTCTGGGCAAGACAGAATGAGAAGCGTGTCTAAAATTACAGCTCCAGAACCTGAGGCCACGTCCACAAATAATATATCGTTCTCTGAGGACGTTTTCTCATAATACTAGCAACCTGGAATTGGAGCAACAACTGCATCAGGGAGGAGAGATAGTTGGAAAATCAGACTGAACAATGTCAACAGCTGAAATATAGCAAGTTTCCCTTTAATTGTTTTGTGATTAGTTTAAATTTAGTTATAAAGTTCAGATTTTAAATCCGCATCATCTCGCCTTTGTGTAATTACTTTTTTGTATCTGTTGTTTCAGAGCTGAAGATTAGTTTTAAAGCAATGACTTTTACTAATAAGTATATACTGTTGC